CTACGTCAGCAGCTGCGACAGCTGGAGCCACAGCAGTGGTTCCTGCTCGTACTGCAGTAGCACCTCCTGCTGATGCTGCAGGAGAGGAGGGGTTGGAAGCGGCCAGGGGTAAGCTCACAAAGCTCCAAAGGAATGCCGCCCGGCTACTGGCCCAGCTGTCAGCTCACCCGGACTCATGGGCGGCAATCGCTGGAGATCCGCTTCTTATTGGCTGGCTTGAACAGTGCACCACAGGGGGGACGCGTGAGAATGCGAGGGAGAGGAGAGGCGGAGGGAGTGAGGAAGCGAGTGAGAAAGGGAGTGAGAGAAAGAGGAAGGCGGAAGAAAGCCATAGGAGAGGAGAGCGGGATGACACGGCTCATTTGCATCGCGTGCTCCGGTCAGCACATGGCAGGAGAAGGTCCGAACAGTGGGAGCCTGACTGGGAGCAGTATGACCGTCTGCTGTGTCACGCGTGTGTGAGCAAGAAGATGCGATCCAATGCCCGCAAGGTGCTCTCACACGCCGCTCCCGCCCTGCATGCTCTGCCACGGCCTGATACTTCGCATGCTCTGCCAGGGACAGCTTCTGTTGCTGCAAGCCATGCTGCCACGTCAGCCCCAGGCTGTCAGGATGAGTGTGACGTGGCGGTGCCAGGCTGGCAGAAGCCAGGGAAGCGATTCACGCCAAGGTATGACGACGGCATCTTCTTTGTCAACCCCACCAGTCCCTGGCTCCAAGCACACTCCCTCCCTTCCCCCCTCTCCTCTTGCTCCCCTTCCTCTTCCTCTTCACCTTCCTCCTCCTCCTCCTCCTCCTCTGTCGCCTCCTCCGCGTCCGCCCCCGCCCGCTCCTCTGTGAGCATGCCCCCTGCGCCTCTCCTGGATGTGGTGTTTGTGCACGGGCTGAGGGGCGGACCCTTCAAGTCGTGGCGCAGGGGAGAGGCAGTGCCTGCTGTAGCGCCGCCTCCTGGACCAGCTGTGGCTCCTGTTGCGAAGCTGCCTGCAGTAGGGACGCCTGTAACGGGGGCGTCTGTAGCAAAAGCGCCTGTAGTTTTGGGCCCTGTTGAGGAGCGAAGGATAGAGGGCGTGGTAGGAGAAGGGATGCGAGAGAGTGGGGTTGCGAGAGTGAGTGAGGTGGTGGGTGAGAATGAGAGAGGGGGTGAGAGTGTGGGGCAGGGTAGGGCAGGAGTAATGAGTGGGGATATTAGGAGGGAGGCTGTGAGGCGAGGTGGGGAAAGGGATGGAGGGAAGGAGGAAGGGGAGAGCGTGGGTGATACGGAGGAGGGAATACATGCCAGAGGGGAGAGCGTGGGTGAGGTGGAGCCGTCAAAGTTGTTGGAGGCGACACTGAAGGAGGAGGAAGAGGGTGGCAAGAAGGGGTCGTGCTGGCCCTGTGACTGGCTCGCTAGGGACCTGCCTGATGCACGAATCCTCACCACCAAATACAGGGTGTGCTTTTCCTCCCTTTCTTTTCCCGGTTTCTTTTTACACGAGTCTGGAACCATGCGCTATCTTAATGTCATTGCGGATCTCAGTCCATTCATGTGTCAACCGAATGAAGAGTGCAAAGGCGCTTGAAGACGTCCCAAAGCTCGGTTTCCTCTTCTTGACCTCTCAACCCTGCCCGTTTCTGTCCCATCTCCGGTCTGCTTACGTTATGCTCTTTCCACCCTTCTTCAAACCTGTCAATCTCTTCATTCTCGTTGCAGACGAACCTATCGGAGTGGGCAGGGGCAACCCTTCCATTACAGGCAAGTGCTGTGCCTCCCACGTCGCCCGATTGATCCCTCTTCTCGTTACTTACCTCTTGTTGCGAACCGCTGCTTTCGTAGCGTGCATGATCATTCTTTCTTGTTTCTTTCCGATGGTGAGATGCCTATGGGAGCTTGATTGCCTTCGCTTGGCCCGCCTGCCCTCTGTCTCTTCCCTCCCCACCTCCTCCCGCAGGACATCAGCATTCTGCTGCTACACAAGTTGGTGGCAGCGGGAGTGGGCAGGAGGCGGGCTCTGTCTGTGAGCTATTCGAGACGTCTCAAATGTCCTGTTTTTACCCTCCCCTCCCCCCTCCTTCCCTCCTCCCCCCCGCAGGACATCAGCATTCTGCTACTGCACAAGCTGGTGGCGGCGGGGGTGGGCGAGCGGCCAGTGGTGTTTGTGACGCACAGCATGGGCGGGCTCATTGTGAAGCAGATGCTCGCTCTTGCGCGTGCCAGCGACATACCAGAGATTCGAGCCCTCGCCGACAGCACAGCAGGCATTGTGAGCGCCCATATTTCACTGTCACGTGCCTTTAGTGGGCGTATGGTTGGTCTCTTGTGTTCGTGACGCACAGCATGGGCGGGCGGGCTCATAGTCAAGCAGATGCTCGCCCTCGTCCTCACCCGTCCCAGCGACATGCCAGAGATTTGAGCCTTAGTGGACAGCACAGCAGGCATTGTGAGTGGGCCTATGGCTGGCTGGTCTCTTGCGTTTGTGACGCACAGCATGGGAGGGCTCATCGTGAAGCAGACGCTCGCCCTTGCGCGTGCCAGCGACATGCCAGAGACGTGAGATGTGGCTGACAGCACAGCAGGCATCGTGAGTGCAGCTCCATGCCCGGAGAAAACTTTCCATGTATGCCTGATGCATTCCTGCTCATGGCTCATGTCTTCCCCCCACAGCTACACTCAATTCCATTATTCCATGCCCGTTTCCCCCTTGCCCCTTGCCCCATGCAGGTATTCTATTCCGTGCCGCACTTTGGCAGCAGGATTGCAGACTACTCCTGGAGAGCCCGAGCTGTACTGCGGCCCGCACCTTCGGTACGTCTCCTCCCTCCTCTTTGCCAACCCTTGTGAAATCAATGCAGGCGATGTGCCTTGCTTCTTGCTGTGCTGGTGCAGTTCCTGCTTCTTTTCGTGCGTTCTGCCCTCATCCATAATCCTGCCTGGCTGTGTGACTTTCTGGCTCACTGACTAAGGTCACTTCACGTGTCATCGCCTCCCTTGCACGCTGCTTTCATCACGCGACTCTTATCTACATTCAAGATTCGCTTTGCTCAAAACTCCATGTGTTTCCGAACGTGGGTGCATGCAGGCGGACTGTCTGCGCATGTCGTCGCCCCATGTGGAGGGTCTCAACACCATGCTGAGGCACATGCACAAGCAGGGCAAGATCCAAGTGCTCTCCTTTGCTGAGGTGCGCGGGTGGGGAGAGGCCATGGTGTAGTTGGGATGAAGAAGCAGGGGCTTCGCTAGTAGATTGTTCAATGAGTGTCACAATAACAAAACGGTTTTTTTGGGTGAGTAAACAGGAGGGTTTGGAGGGTTTGGAGGGTTTGGAGGGTTTGGAGGGTTTGGAGGGTTTGGAGGGTTTGGAGGGTTCGGGTTCGGGTACAATGGAAGGCATGCCTACGTGAGGGGAACTGCGAACCGTTGGATCTGATGCACTTGCCCCCCTTCCCCACCTCTCCCCTCCTTTTAAGTTTGCCGTTTGTCCGATTTTTTGGGGGCTCACCCATGACCAGACGAAGGTCACGCCTCTGGTGAAGACTTACGGTGGGCTGACGCTACGACTGGAGGTGGTTCCACTGGAGTCGGCCTACCCGGGATTCGGGGAGTTTGTGGTGAGTGAGCTGGCTGCGCTTATCAGTGGGGTACATGTTGCCCTTCAGTATGGTCCGTTTCTAGTGTCTTGGTTGCTAGCTGTTCTGCTGGCGCATGACTTTGCATGCATAACATGGTTTCACATGGTTTGTGCCATCGTCTTGTCATCGTGTAACATGCAGGTGTTGGACGGGACTGACCACATCAATGCTTGCAAGCCAGTCAACACTTCTGACCCCGCTTATGCCAATACACTACATTTCCTTCTCAAGCTTCGAGATGCCACTCAAAAGAACATGGTAGAAGAAAATAGGAGGGCGTAGGACATGTACGGTAATCTTTGGCTGGTTGTCATGGTACCATATGGTGCTATGGTTCTTGTTTTAATGTATTCGATTTTTAAATAATTAGTGCTGTGTAGATGAGGGCCACTTGGTCGACGCAGCATGCTTATCATGTCTGAGTTCCGTTGTGTGTCACTTGACTCAAACGAGGTTGACCTTATTGCAGAAGTCGAAGCTATCCGATGAAATCGGACTCTCGGTAAAATGCCATTCATAAGCAGCCTGCGCCCCCAAGATCTCGAATCAACCAAGGGCTCGCATTCACCAAAGCTGTCATCGACGGACGATTCCGAGCAAGCACAGCGGAGCGCGTACCGCGGTCTGAGAGCCTGACCAGCCGTGTGTCACGGGAAGATGGGCGCTTCGCGCGCTTCCCCTCGACCACTAACGTCCAGCTGTGAGGTTCAGTGTGCGAAAGGAGTTGCATTCTGCGTAATGTTTGACAAACCTTCCAAAAAGGGGTACCTTTTCCATGTTCCCCTTGGTACGTGACTACCCGTTTCCGACTAACTCATGTGACTGCAGAAGAGGTTTGGTGAAGAAAACACAAGACGGCCTGTTTATATAAGTTCTCTGTGTACGAGAAAAGCATGGAGCGTAGTGAACTACCCTCGAGAGATCCGACAAAGGGTAACAGCCTACGGTATGGGTGCCGTACCTGCGTTCCAAGCCAAACCGCACTTGGCGTGTCACGGTGCAACTAACGAGCGGGAGCAAAACTCGCGCTACCCTCGTCACCTTCCACAGCTGTGCTGTACCGTTGCGTGCGGGCTCGTTTGTGCACCACCATCCAACCCACTCTCGCTCAAACACCTCTTCCACGACCACAACCACCCTGGCTTCGGAGCTGCCCTGGGACTGCACTGGTTTCAAGGGCTTGGCTTTATTTTATTCCGCCGAGCAATCACATGCCCATCGCACAATTTCGCCCACAGCTTTACTTTAGTCAGTGCCAAACGTTCGAGACTACAGCTTGTGGTCCTTAATCTGCTCAATTGATCTCTAACCAGCGTAGACGGAAGGCTCGAACCTTACGATCTTCGAAGCCATTGAAGACAGGAACTTAGAAACGCAGGTTAGCATTCGTAACCATGTCGGAACGCAGCAACGTCTCGGCCTCTGGCCCCAGAGCCAATCCTCTCTATGGCGGACCAGCTAACCCAAGCGCGGGAAACCGAACCCCTTCATGGGCGCGTAAATCCGGCGCAGGCGGTGCCCGACCGTCGTTCAGCGATGCCGCGTCTTCTCCCCCTGATTCCCCCGCGCGCTCCGCCCGCAGCAACAACGGCCCATCGTACTACGCCCCGCAATACGAGCACCCCGGTTACACCGTCGAAACGCCCGGCGTTAACGACGCTATGCTGGGACAATCCCCGTTCCGCGCGCCCCCTTACTACGTGCAGACCCCCGCACACTCCGAGCGGCCTGGATCCCCCATGTCTTCGGTCCCCGACTCCCCCGCGCACACCATGTCGTACGACATGCGCAGTGTGCGGTCTGGGAAACCAGGCTCGTCGCGCGTCTACGGCGCGCCGGCTCGCGTGGCTGCGGCGCCGCTTGCGTCGCGGATCAACGAGGAGGGCGACGAGGAGGAGCAGCTGTACGAGCCGCCTGCTAAGGAGGCGTCGGGAGGGCGGTCGAAGCGGAGCAAGCGATTCTGGACGATCTGCATTGTGGTGGGGATTCTGGCCCTCGTCCTCGCGGCCGTCGCGACGGGCATCGCGCTTTACTACGTGTTCCAGCCGGATGCTCCCACGTACACCTTCGATGTAAGTACCTTTGTTTCAATATTCCCCGTTGTGGATCGCGAGTTCATGGGTCACGGCCCACGTTTCGTTTCGGAATCCACTTCAGGCAAGCATTGTTTGCAGTCATGCAGTGAATTCTTCGCTTATGAATCCACCTTTTCCCTCTGTTCTCCCCGTTCCCCCTGGCGACGGTTTCAGTATGCGACTCTCAACGAGTTCCAGATCGTCAACAAGCTCGCCGACGGAACCGGCTTGCCGACAGACCAGCTTTTCGCAAACGTTACTTTCGTCTTTTCTGCGATCAACCCGAACGGCAAGTACACGCTACAAGGCGACGGCGGTTTGCTGCAAGTCGGCTACAGCTCCATTCCCACGCTCATGCAAGGAGGGGTGAGTGGTTCTCAGGATCACAGATGTGCTGCTCCTAAGTCACGCCTTTCCGAGACAGATCCTCCGCTTGTTTTCCAATTGCCAGGACTCCACTCCCTGTGCTCAACCACCTCTTTTCCCCTGCCTCTTTGTGCCGCCTTCAGGTCCCCTATTTCGCTCTCAGTTCTAAGAACTTCACCAACTTCACTACATCAGTGGGTGTAGCCATGTACCCGTTATACGGCGTGGGTCCGGGGCTGCGTCAGGACATCATGGCAGAGTACATCAGCATGCAACTTCATGCACAGGTGGAATCTCGCATCGAGATGGCGTGGAAGATTGTGCAAACTCATTACACGCACGTCATGGACTGCAGTGTAGCTTTCAATCCGGTCAATCTGCAGTATCTCAATGATACTTGCGTGTTCAAGAGAAAATGAGTCGGGGGTGTGGTGTCGTCAGGGAATAACTAGTAGGATGTTGCTGTGGCAGCAGTCTCTGGGGATTTTGGATAGACAATGTTGCCAAGCTCTCGGTTATTTTTGTTTAGATAGCTAGATCTGAAGTCTTATTGTACTTCCGTAATGAACAAGAACCCTTGTTGGAACAGGGACCTGTAACTTGGGAATTAGTTCATACAATGCCGTTCAGAGCAATGGTTCACATGAATCATAAGAATCAAACGTTAGTGGTCATGAGGGTTGTTGTGCGAATTTTCTGGCTGACAAAGCATAATCTACCCCTTCCACTGAACAGAAACTGAACTAAGAGACCAGCCAATAATCAGTGAAATACTTAAGCGTGCAAATATTGTTTCTGCTTAGAATAATAATACAGATGGGTGGCAGGTGAAACAGTTCCGGCGTTCGTTCCCCCCCGAGTGTTGTCACTGTGATTATCGCAGTTAACGTATAACGCGGAAAACGCAGCCACAACAGCGAGTGAGGGATTAAAAGTTCCACGCAAACTGGTTTCGTGTTTCAACATTTAAAAAATATTTGTTTTGTTTTTTCCTGCCTGCTAGAACATCCGCCATAGCTCGCCATAGTTGCCAGAATGTCGGAGCCGCCAGCCAAGCGCCCGAGAGGTCGTCCGAGGAAAAACCCTCTTCCCGATAATGCGAGCCCCTCGACTGGCGCTGTAGGAACGCCGTCGAGAGTACCGGCTGCGGCCGCCAGAGCGGCTGCCACTAGAGCAGCGGGAAATAGAGCAGTCGAGGAGGACGATGACGTGCAGCCACGTCAGTCCAAGCGAGCTGCCACGTCAGCTGCAGGCAGCGCGATTTACAGCGCGAGCAAGCCATTGTCGCAATGTAGGCAGTCGCTGTTTTTACTAGTTAAAGAATACATCATACCCGCGACGTTTTTTATTCTACGGCTGCTGTTTGTACCTTCCTCGCGCGTCTCCTCGCGTCACGCAATTGCAACGGCGAAGATCTCCCTTTTGTTTTGCCCATTGTCACACGCTCTATATTGCCTTCCGCAATTTCCGTATTTCCCTCAGTCCCCGTGACCGCGTCTGTCCTTCCGCGCCCGGTGTTTCCCGCCGTGCCTGCGTGTGTTCCGCAGTGAATCCGCGAGTGCTCGTTCTTGCTCCAGATGAGGTACGCTCCTTAGAATACGACTTGCAAAAAAAAAAAAAAAAAAAAAAAAAAAAAAACGCGTCTTACATTCTCCTTATCGTTACGTTCGTTTAATTAAATCATAGAATTTCAAGGTCAAGCGCTCTTGTTGGCATTTGTTGATTGTACTCTAATTTCTGGATCATCTCTCCCATCGCTCCCATCCCCCCCGCCCCGCAGGACGTGGCGACGCGCATATTCCTCGAGTCGCAGGCGGGGCCGAACGTGGGCGTGTGCGTGCTGTCCGCCAACGGCTCTATTTCCAGCGCCACGCTGCGCGACCCCTCAGGCGGCGCCAACACTACCATTCACGAGGTGCAGTTCGGTGCAGAGAGGTTGAACGGGGTAGCGCCGTCGATGATGGTCCGCCGCATTTGCTCCCTGAGACCCCATAGAGCATGAATGCCACCCCCACTCTTATCCACTCTCCCCCTCATGAATGCTGCCCCGACCTTTATCTGGCCCCCAACTCCTTCCCCTCCCATCCCCCTTCCCCCTCTTCTCCCCACCCCCCCCACACTATCGACTTCTCCTGCTTCCCTCTCCTCTTATTCTCCCCTCCCACCCAGGGTCGGTTTGAGCTGCTGAACATGTCGGGCTCGTTTCTGCCGCACGACCCGGCGGACCCCGATGGGCGAATGGGCGGGCTGAGCGTGAGCCTCGTCAGCTCCAACGGCCGCGTTGTGGGCGGCGGTGTGGCCGGCCGCCTCGTTGCCGCCACACCTGTGCAGGTGAGCAGCTGGCATGATAGGGTGTGGGAGGGAATGGGGGAAGGGGGGGGGGGGGGGGGGGGGGAAAGGCGAAGTAGTGGGGAAAGAGCGACTTTTGGGTTGACTGAATGGGCGCCTTGTTGTCGTCACGACCGTGCAGGTGAGCAGCTGGTGGGGTTTGGGGGGTGTGCATGTGGAAACGAATGGGGGGAAGGAGAAGTGAGGGGGAATGCATGTGGCTGGTTGTGTGTATCTTTTCGCGTTTATTTCAGGTTGTATGAATGGGGGAGCTTGGGGGTCGGTGCGAGGGTGCATAACTGGGGGATTGTTTTACTCATTTTCTACCAAGTGCCGTATCATATCAATCCCTCTCTGCAGGTCATACTGGCCACATTTCTGCACGACCCTAGCAATCTGACCACACCTGGATCAAGGCCAGCTGGGCAGTGAAGGCAGTAGTAACGGCAGCAGTGCGGGCAGTAGTAACGGCAGCAGTGCGGGCTAAGTACGGCAGCAGTGCGGGCTAAGTAACGGCAGCAGTGCGGGCTAAGTAACGGCAGCAGTGCGGGCAGTAGTAACGGCAGCAGTGAGGAGTAGAAAGTGAATGCATTGAGTGCAGCAGGATGGGCACCCGAAGCGCTGGAAGCAGGGCACCAGTCCTCTGCTGGGGAGAGCAACAGGCACTAACGATAAGCACGACGACAGATGAGCTATCCAAGATACAGATGCTGCTGAGCTCCAACGAGCACATTGTGCCTAACTCGTTATTCTCTAGAAGGGCATTAGGGTAACGAACACTAGGATTTGGAAGGTAACCGGGAGGGTCATCGTGAGGGGTTGGGGTGGAGGCGATCCTTGGCTTTCCTAAATTTATCCCAGTAGTGTGCTTGGTTGTGGAAGTCTTAGATTGCTGTAGACTTTGCCATGTCTTTCAAAGCCATGTCAAGCAGTAAATCCGCAAACTAAAGAATCTGACGGGACTGGAGAACAAGAAGTTCTTTCATGCTTTACATTACACCCTGGGAATACTCTTTACTTCTAGAACGAGCCCCTCCCTCTTTCAAAAGGAAAACCCAAAACAGATGGATTAGGAGTTCAGCCATCCCACCCTGGTTAAAATGCTGGCTGTGGGGTTTGAACCCACGCGTGCTGAAGCACAAGAGATCTTAAGTCTCCCCCCTTGGACCACTCGGGCAAGCCAGCTATGTATTGAGGTCACGTGTAACATATTAATACATTTTCTGTTACGGGTTCAGCCTGTCTTTTTTGCCTTCTTCTAGTCCATGGAGAAGTGCCTGTAGCCCATTTGGCCTCAATTATGTGAATGTGCACTACATTCTTTAAGGTGATCTCACCCTTTACCGAGGCACTGCATCCTACGAGCAGCATACAGCCCAGATTTCGCCCTAATGTGAACACTCATTCAACCTATTGACCACCACTTATTTTCCACTCCCTTTCTCCAACAGTTCTCCCCCCTTCACCCTCCATCCTCCACCCACTCCCTCTACAATCACCAACCCTCAAACCAAAGCGACTCTTCAGACCCCTCTCTACCTTGGCCAACAGCACTCTCCTCCTCTCCCGCCACCCCAGCCCCCTTCTCCTCCTCCGTCATCCTCCCCCTCTCCCCCTGCACCTCCCCCACCCTCCTCACAAGCTCCTCCGGCGCCGGCCAATCCAGCGCTGCCACCTGTTCCCACGGCACGCCAGCAAACCACGGGTGGGCCTTGATAGCCCCAGCCCCGCCAGGGCCGCACCCGAGCCGGTCTTCAGGGCGCGGGGAGAGCAGCTGGTGAATGAGAGCGGAGGCGGCGGGGGGGAGGTGGTCGGGGAGGAAGAGTGCGTGGCGGGCGATGCGTGTGTACACTGTCAGCTCGCTGTCCCTCCGCGAGCCAAAGGGACCCTCGCCGTGCAGCAGAGCGAATATGAGCACTCCCAGCGACCACCTGCGGGGTGGGGGTGGGGATGTGAGTTTTAAGTTGACTGAAAATACATATGAGCACTGGAGGACCCTGTGTGGTGGGAGACGGGGAGGGGGGGGAGCGAGGGGGAGTGCATGTGTGTGAGTGTTGAAGGAGTTTAAGCAGTGGTATGAGGAGCATGATGAGGAGGAGCACACATTGTGTGAGTGCAAGCAGCACGCGAGAATAACTCAGGGAGGGATGGGCTGCCCAGCAGGCAGGCAGCCCCCGTACCAGTCAGCAGGCACGCCATGGCCACGCCCTGCGATGACTTCCGGAGCTACGAAGTCCGGCGACCCACACATGGTGAACGTGCGCCCATCCTCCAGCCGCTTGGCGAAACGCAGATCGGGGAGCTGCAGAAAGGTGGTTGGGGGGGGGGGGGGGGGAGGGGGGGTGTCAGAGAAAGGACGAAGGAGAGGGAAGAAAAATATTGTGAACGTGTGCCCATCCTCCAGACTCTTGGCAAAACGCAGGTCAGGGAGCTGCAGAGAAGGGTTGCCTTGGGGGGGGGAGGGGAGGGGAAGGGGAGAATAAGAGGGATGAGTAACGAGGAGACAGGGCGGAGAGGGCGTCCCGCACATGGTGAACGTGCGCCCATCCTCCAGACGCTTGGCAAAACGCAGGTCAGGGAGCTGCAGGGAGAGAAGGAGAAGGAAAGGGGGGGGGAAAATGGGGGAGAGCGGTAAAGCGGGGGAAGGGGATGGGCGGAATGAGGGAAAAATGACAACGCGAAAGAGGGAAGAGTGGGCGTGTTGAAAAGAAGCAGCAAGTCTTGATAGCTTGAGCACGGCAACAACACACCCCACAGTCCACGCCCCGTTCCCTTTCCCTGCACCCACTTCTCTTTCCCTTGGCCCCACCCCTCTTCCCCTCGCCCCACCCACCTGCAGTTGGCCTCGAGAGTCGAGGAAGAGTGTGGAGGGTGACACGCCTCGAAACACCACTCCGTCCTGGTGGGCGCGAGGGCAGGAAGGAGAGAAACACGTAGATAAATGCTGAACCGCAACAGCAGTAGAAGAGGTTTTTTCCACACGAGCCTTTTTTCCGAAGGGATAGGAACGTAAGATGGAAGCGGAACAAGAATCTGTGAAGTTTGTGAGCATTGGGAAGTCGTGTCATGAATTGGAAGATGCAAGTCAACGCAAGTCAAACCGGGTCAACTCACCCGGTGCATCAGCTCCATTGCAACAACAAGACCCGCCGCCACAAACCGGGCGGCATCCTCCGGCAGTGGCGGGAAAACGTCGGGCCCTGCCTGCCCGCCTGCTCCCTCCCTGCCGCCCATGATCAGCGCCAGCGGCGTGCTGAGCTGGCAGTCCAGCAGCAGACCCACAGAGGCATGGTCGGTGTACGGCGTGATGACAGGTGGCACAAACGGGTTGGCTGAGAGGGTTTCAAAGAGATTGCGCTCCCGATGGACCTGGAAGGATGTGAAAGAGAAGACATGGAGGGATGGGAGAGTGAAATGGACGGGGAGAGTAAGGGGTGGTGGGAGTGAGGGGTGGGGGGAGTGAGGGGTGGGGGAGTGAGGGATGGGGGAGTGAGGGATGGGAGAGTGAGAGAGGGGAGCTGGGTGTGTATGAAGTGACGCCTTTTCTTTTATGCCTAAACGACCGCCATCAAGGGGATTGGCGAGGGGGATTGGGAGAACGTTCTAACATCAAGCGGGAAGTGAATAGCACACCCGCTAAGGTGCAAACCTGTTTCAAAACTCCAGTGGGTCCAACCCACCCATCAAGCATACAGCATAGCCCCAGTGAGGTGAGAGAGAGGAGAGAGCGCACCTGCTTGCTTCGGCCGTGCAGCCCCACGCGCGTCTTTCCGAAGCGCCGCATGGCAAACACCCTTCCCACGTTCTGCACTCGCAGCTGCACCACCTCACTCCACTCGTTGGCTGCTAGCACGTCCTGCCACTCCTGTTGCACAGAGGGAGGGGGGGAAGGGGAGGGGCGGAGGGGTGGTGGTGTATAAGAAAGCAGCACTCGCAGCTGCACCACCTCACTCCACTCGTTGGCCGCTAGCACGTCCTGCCACTCCTGTTATCCCCGGAAGAAGGAAGGTTCAGGGGTGGACGGATGGTGAAGCGAAGGCAAGAGGGTGAGGGGAAGGATGGAGGGAGAGAGAGGGGGGTCTGGAAGCAGCACGCACAGATGCACCAACTCGCCCTACTCCTTGCTGCCTTGCCTTGAGAGCAATGGGTTCTGTCAGCCCTGTGTTGAAGAAACTGCCACGGGGAAAGATGAATAACACAGAGAGGAGTAGAGCCGGTGGATGGATGAATAATGACAACACACATTCAAAGAGCAGCACACACAGCGGCTCCGCCTCACACCACCTTGCACCACTTCGTACCGCCTCACACCACTCACCACTTCAGCTGCCACGATCCCCTCCAGGATCTGTCGCATCTCATCCCCCTGCCTCTTTGCCGCCAGTGTCTCCTGAAACCGGCACCACTCTGCATCCACCCGCACCGCATCGCTCAGCGGCCCCACAGCTGCCTCAAACTTGTCTCTATCAATCGCCCAGCACTGCACCTGCCCCCTCGCCACCGCCTTCCTTGGCCCCTGCCTTCCGTCATCCTGCTGCTTCCCTTGATGCTCATTCTCCTCTACCTCCCCACCTGCCACACCTGCCGCTGTCTGTGCGTCTGCATTCGCAGGCCTCGTGCCATCATCGCCCCCATCCAACAAACACGCCTCGTTAAAATACTGCAAACCCGTCTCCGCATCACCCTCACTCTTCTTCTCCCCCTCGCCCTCCCCATCCTCCTCCTTTCCCCCATCTGCATCACCCTTCACCAGCAACCGCCCCTCCTGCACCACATACACGGTGCCCCCTTCCATCTCCAGCCCATCCCCATCGTTCAGCTCAAGCGTGAGCAGGAAGAGCGCGAGGCGCTGCAGCTGGCCGAAGGAGAGGGGGGAGAGGAAGGGCAGGGAGCGCAGGAGGCGCAGCAGGCGGGGCGGAGGGCCCATCTCTGCGGAGCCTGCCACCAGCCCCAGCGTCTGCACCTTCTGGAACAGCGCCCGCTGCAGGAACCACAACACGCCGCGTGACGCCGCCCGCACCGACGCTTCCCTCCTTGTCCCGTACCTGGAAGTTGGGGGAGGTTGGGGGCGATGGGTGGGGGGAGAAGGGAAGGAGTGAGTGAACGGGTGGAGGGAAAGAAGGGTGGAGTTGAGTGGTAAGGCACTGCCACACACTTCGGAACCGCAAAAGACAGTTATTCGAAGTACAGAGAGTTACACAACGTTAATGGCACTGTTTCAGTGCTTACATAAGTGCGAGATCCCCAAAGCTGGGCATGTGTTTGTCGTTGGCAATGTAGCGATGAACCACCACTCCTAGAGGGTCGTCCTCCACCTGAAGCACTCAATAACGAGGATGAGAAGTCAGCAGACAGACAACTTGAGACTAGATGAATAGACACCTTGATCAAGACTTCACAAAAAAACGGAGGGATTGAGGGAGGGGGGATAAAATATCACCTTTCTGATCCATGGTGAAGTTAGCTTCTTTCTCACCTGCTCCGTGGCCATCTCACCTGCTCCGTGGCCACGAGCACGTCAAAGTCCCCGTGGTGGCAGATGAAGAACTTGTCTCCCACGTCGCCCTGTGAGGCAGATGGAATGGCACACAACCCACACAGGGGAAGAACGGGATGTTTGTCTGCATGTGAGCAGAGAGTGATTGCTGATAGACAGCGGGAGCGGTGCTGTGTCTTCAAAGTCCTTGCGTGCCTGCAGAATGAAGTTGGGGCGGAGGAGACATAACGTAGCTTTAAAACGTCTCAGAAACGAATCGTTTACCACACCCTTACCCATGCCATGCTTACCTGCTGAATGATGACGTCTCCTGGACCCACTTCCATCGTTACAATAGAAAACATTCTTGTCGAGATGCAAGGCATATCGTTCTTCACACCCGCACCCATGCATGCTCACCCGCTGGAGACAATGCGCCCCCCCCCACCGCACGCCGTGCGCACTCACCTGCTGGATGACAACGTCCCCCGGCCCCACGTCCATCTTCTGGAAGCACTGCAGCATCAAGTCCTGCTGCTCGTGCGACAGGCTGTGGAACAAAAAGTTTCCTCGCAACGCGTGCTCCAGCTGGTGCTGCGGGACATGGGCGGGAAGGCGGGACGTGGGCGAGGGGTGGGGAGAGGGGCATGCGTGAGGAACATCAAGGTAAAAGAAGTGAGGAGTTGAAGAACTGGGTTGGGAGATGTGAGGGGTTGGAATAAACGGAAACGGAAAAGCGTTGCTACCTCCACAAGAGCAGCCGTGGCAGCCACATCAGCGGGCGGCGACCAGTCGTCTTCAGCGGGGGGGCGATCGAAGTCGGTGCCCTCAATGATGCGGCGCTGGAAAGCACCCAGATCCGCCAGCATGGAGCGTAGAGCTGTGGATGTTGGCAGCACCAGCGGCGGCGTGGGGGGTGGAAGCGGCACACCTGTTGACGTGGTGCGGGCTGCCCCCTGCTGCACTGCTTCTAGGGTGCTGTCCTGCATGGGCGGAGGGAGGAGAGGCGGGAGGACGGGGAGGAGTGGGGGGGAAGTGGAGGAATACGGGGTTAGGGGGAAGAGATGGAAAGGTTTGGGAGGACAGGGACAGGGAAGATGCCTGACTTCGTGACAACGTGCTTCAGTGAGTGGATGCGCATGGAAGGGAGGCAGGGGCACATGTGGCATCAACAGAGGCAGAGGGTGCAGTGACAGATATCAAAGACAGGCAGAGCGTGCACTGACGGGCATCTCGGTGTCGATGTGAACGATGATGATGGTGATGTCATCCGTCCTCGTCTCATACTGCAGCCACAGCCGGTACGACTCCGCCACGATCTCCTCACACGCCGCAAACGGATCGTTGTGCCGCGCCACCTGGCAAGGTTGAGGGTGAGGGTGGGGGGGGGGAAGGCGTGGAGGCAGAGAGACGCGCTTATATTACCAGCAAGCCAAAGCCTACGAAACTTGCAGGTACACGCGCTGCACTCATAACCACCAGTTTTTTAGCCGATGCAATCATCCAGTGCACCATGCTGTTCCCCACGTCATGCCCCATCCACACACATCATGTTTCTTGCCGTGTGTGCCATGATCCATGCTCCATGCTCTATGCTCCGTCCTCCATGCTTCACGACCCTTACTTCATTCCCCATGATTCGTCCCCCATGCTTCATCGCCCATGCTTTATCGCCCATGCTTCATCACCCATGCTTCATGTCTCGTTTCATTCCCCATGCCCCATGTCCATTGCCCAACGCTCCATGCCCCATGCTCCAAGCCCCATGGCCCATGCCCCATGCTCCATGCCCCATGCCCCATGCCCCATGCCCCATGCCCCATGCCCCATGCCCCATGCCCATGCCCCATGCCCCATGCTCCATGCCCCATGCCCCATGCCCCATGCCCATGCCCCATGCCCCATGCCCCAAGTCCCATACTCCAACCCAATCCCCAAGCCCCATACTCCGTATCCCATGCCCCAAACCTCTCGCGACTCACCATGTTAACCACATCTTGACTGCTCAGGAACTCGAACACGCCATCGCTCGCAATCACAAAGAACGGGTGCCGCTCTGACAGCGCCACAGTGAGCACCTCAGGCTCCGCGCACACGCCAATCCGCTCCGCCACCGAATCCCCCAGACTCCTTGTAAACGCCGTCCCAGGATACATGCCATTCGCCACCCACAGGCGCGGCGGATCCCCATCATCGTCGTCCTCCCCCCCCCAGCACTGCACGTCCGGGTCCTTTAGCCCTTCCAGCTGGTCTAGGGTTAGCACGCGCGCGCCACATGCGCGCACGCGCGCGCACTCGTCCGCTCTGAAGGGGGTTTGGTCGCTCGAGAGGTCCACTGCGCGCAGCGTAGCACCCCCCGCTGAGTACCCCTGCTTCTTCTCCTTTCCTTTCCCCGCTTCTCCCCCTGCCCCGTCTGCTCCTCCTCCTCCCCCTGTTCCTCCTGTTCCTTCTTGCCCCTCTGCGACCACAGCTCCATCCTCACCAGCTTTTCTCGTTCCTTCTGCTGCTCCGCCGTCTCCCCCGACTCGCCCTTCCCCTCCGCCCGCTCCCTCGGCACCCTCTCCGTCTCCCCTACCCGCGGCCTCGTCCATGTGCCATTCCGCCAGCACCGCGCGCGAGTCCCCCACGTTAGCGGCGTACAGCATGCGATCGCGCAGCAGCACGGCGATGCCCGTGCTGCCGCTCATGGTGTCGTCCACGTGCGATCGGTGCAGCTCCACGTTTGTCGTCACGAACGCGTCCCTGAACGCCCTGGGAACGTCCGCGTCCAACGCAGGGTGGTTCAGAAGGTTCCGCGCAAGAACATCCCGGGAAAACTGCGAGCACGGCGTGCCTTGCTCCCCGTGCCCGTCGAACACGCCAAAAAGGTGGTCCGACGGGAGCCCTCCGAATTGGGGTACCACACAGAAGCTGTCCTGATTCGCCTTTCCAGGAGCTTCAGGATAATACCCTCGCTGCGTCAAGTAGGAAAACCGCAGCCAAAACCCGGCTCCTGGAACCTCGAGTACCATTGCGCCGGACTGGGGCGGTGGGGGTTGAATGACGGGCGGGAGGGGCTGACGTGGCAGCTTCTCTTTGGCTGCACCCGCAGTGGCGCTGGCGTCAGCATGAGCTTCGATGGTGGCCTGCTGCGTATGATTCGTCTGAGGCGGAATGGCACCGGGGATATTGTTCAATGTTTCGGCTTGAGAATCTCTCTTAGCTAAAGACTCTGCTTCTTGCCTGTCTACACCAACCTCTGGCTTTGATGCTGGTAAACCGGCAGCAGTCGCGCTAAGCGACGGGCTAGGTTCAGAACCTGTGGGCAATTTCCCCTGAGAATCGAAACCAGGTGGTTGTTGCTGCTGTGCCGGTTGCTGTTGAACCTTCTCTTGTTTCCGCCGGCCCTGCCCTTTCCGCTTATCAGATGCCACGTCACCATCATGATGATCAGGCGTCCCGGTAGAGAGTTCGTCGACGTCCTTAAGCGTAGCCTTGGAGCTTACGCACCCCATGGCGAATAGACGGAGCCGCGGAGCACTCGCGTTAATAACGTCTCGCACGAACTCCGGAGCTGCCCTAGAAACGTGTTGAGGGACTGATCTTAACGGTATTATATTGGGCCTAAGTCGTCAGATTGTTCTAATGCGACGAGCTGCGTCGAGATGACCTAAATTGTTGCTATTGTGTCGAGCTGACCTAAATTTGTCGAGTTCCTCAAATTAATCAAGATGACCTGAGTCCCAGGCTGCTCTAATGCGTCGATAGGCGCTGGTATGGACAATTCTACGGAGCCACACAGGCCATGGGTACGAGTTAATGAAAGAAATTAGCAGTCCCGGCTCATGTCAGGTCAGCACTGCGCTTCATTAATATCGCGAGATGCAACTTAGAATCGCACAAACGGAATGACCGAATGCAAAGGTGCAACATTAGGGCTCCTCCTAAACATAATCTGCAATCGAAAATCCCGTCAGGCAGAAACGCTGACAGGCAGCATCAGTGCGAGGAGAATAGCGACAGCGTTAATTGAAATCAGAACGTCGGACATGACTGTTCCATACGAAGCGTCTAGCAATATCTCGCCGTGAGCAGCACGAGCGCTCGCCGTAATGCTACATCGCAGCCACCGACGCCTGCTCGGGACGACGCCATGACGCGCTGCTAACAACTATCACCCACAATATCTTTCAACCCCATTTCAATCGAGACACCTAAACAAACACGTCTTATTCCAGAAGGTTTAGTCTTGTGCATCAAAGTGCGATCGTCCTGGGCGCCAGGGATATTAATCAGCAGCCAATGACCGACCTAAGTCCTAGACTCTCCCTAAACTGCTGTAACTATTCCTCCGATTCGTCAACCTCAACCAAACAAAAGACAATTCCCATACCATTCCCGTAACGCACGCACAGACCGGGATGAAACCGTGGAGGCACGGAAGGAGCAGAAGCAGACACCGAGGTGCGTCAAGTTGCTGACTGGACGCAAATCCCGAGGTGGAAGGGGTGGGGTGGGGTTTGATTTGCCTGCCTACGCTGCTTCCCGCCAAAGGCACTGTAGATTGGCAGCAGTACTGGTGACCAGCATTCTGGGTGGCGTGGCGTCGCGTGGAGGGGCCGTGCGATGCTAGCGACCATGTACGACCAGGTGCGTTTGCGATGGGCCTCCAGTGGACGTCAATGTTGCGTGTAGCTAAATACCCACTGATATCATCTGCATCACTAAGAGGATGAAACGAACTTAATTCATAAGAATCAATAAATGAGCACTAAAATCCTAGCAATTCTCTAGAGTTCGCCAGTAGGAAACCTAACGTAGATTTATCAAATTTCCGAGCGAACAAAAAACAATTTCGCGGCTCTCCATTCAATACACAATAGCCCCCTTCAGTAGACTGCAAGGAACAGCCACAGGATAGAACAGCAGAAATACTTTCAGAACACTAATCCCCACTAGCGAACTTACTGCATGAAGTAGGCAAAAGCAATAACATAGCTTTGGTATATAGCCGGCAAGGTACATGTAACAGCAAAAAAACTCACCAGAGGAGGTCGAGGGCCATTGGGATCCGTTATCTGCACAATACACGTACCAAATAAAACACCAGTACCAGAAGAATGAAATGAGAACAAGCATGAGTTGGAATTGGTGAAACAACAGGAGCATTGTGGGAATGCTGTAAATTTTCTTAGACCATGCTGGACTTGGGATGTTGTACTTGATTTATATCCAGCAGGGAACATGGTGATTGACCAAGGAGAACCAGCAAATAATACTATTCGTTGAAGGATGAGGGGGCACGAAGGTGTAGAGGGAGGTGCTTGCACTGAAAGGACTTACATGTGAGTAGTTGCTTGAGAAGTCTTGCCAGAAGGACCGGAAAGTGACAAACTGCGTGGCGGACTGCAGGGGGGAAAGGGGAGAGCAAGGGAAAGTGAGAGTGAGGTAGAGGGAAGAGAGCAAACAACCATAACACAGCCTTGCACAGTAAAACGATGCAGTAACCTTGCTTATGCCACATTGCATTGTTTGTTGCCCTCACAGTACAGTTGCGCAGATACCCAACATAGAACAGACTACCCAACGCACAGAACCTCGATCGTCTGGCTTTCGCATCCCCACCTTGATCATCCGGATCACATCTTGCGTGGTGTTGCTCCCATGGTAGAACCTCGGGTGCCACTCGTTCGCACTCCAGTCAGCAAAGGTCGTCGGGTAGTGGGATATGCCCTTGGGGTCTTGCATCTGAAAAAATAGTCAAATCAGGCCGAATCAAAACGCCGCAAAGATATAAAATAATATATCGAAAAAAAAGATATTACTTTCTTATGCTACTCGCGCTCTCGAAAACCATTCATATGGAAGGTGTTCCATGAATCCGTTCTTTTCTCTTGCTTCAGCGAGCCTGTCTACAGCGACTCACATGCAGCATGGTTTGGATGTAGTGCTCATCGGCGCAGCACACCTTCCCCCATTGAAACCGAAACTGCAAGCAGACGAGTGGAAGCAGCCCAGACGCAGAGATTAGCCGGAACGAAGACTGGGATGGCAGCTTGCACTGACAGGCAGAGAAGGCTAGCTAATGGACAAGGAGCGGAAACCTTCAATTGTAGGATAGTGCTCATTGTGCTCCCGCACCAGACAACCCCCATGCCGCATCTTCCTGTCCCCACCATCACCAGCATTGCCATTCTGGCACCATCACAAACAGTAGACGTGAATTCGTTTGCAAGTCACCTGTGCCCGAGCCCTTACTCCCCATTCTTACCACACAACCCCTATTGTATATGCACAGCACGGCACAGCACCCACCCATCTCCATCCACTCCCTCATTCCCAGCCTCACCGCGCAGCTCCGGTTGTGCACGGCGTAGTGCTGCGTGTCCTGCACCACCAGCTGTGCATGGCGGCGCTGCAGCACGAACCACTGGTTGCCCTTGCGGTAGTCCTGCGCGCCCACCAGCGGCTTGAAGATGTGCGGGATGTAGCGGCGGAAGGTCGCGTTGTACGGGTCGGGGTAGCTGCAATGGGGGGGGAGGGAGTAGAGGGGAACATGTAAGCGGAATGAACATGCGCCCACCAGGGGCTTGGAGATGAGCGGGATGTAGCAGCGGAACGACACGTTGTAGGGGTCGGGGTAGCTGCAGGAAGAGAAGGGGGGGGGGGGGGGGGGGGGGGGGAGGGAGACGAGTATTGAAGCAGAGTGAAGGCGGGGCGATCAACGGACTGGCGAGAAGATGTGCGGGATGTAGCGGCGGAAAGACATGTTGTAGGGGTCGGGGTAGCTGCAGGGGAGGGGAATGTTGAAGAGGCATGACGTCGTGCAAGTGATGGGGGTGAAGACGTCGGGATGTAACGCTATGATGCAATGTAGCTCTACCATGGACTGGAGTGTAGAGATATGATGGGATGTAACGCTATGATGGGATGTAGCACTACGATGGTATGTAGCGTTACGATGGGATGCAGAGCTATGTTGTAACGCTGAAACTTTGGAATGTAGAGCTGTGTACACTCTAAGGACTGTTCTGAAACGAAAACATACCCGGGTAAGTTACGGGGTCAGATGGTCAGGCATTGACGAAGCTGGTGTGAATCACACATTCACGAAGCTGACAGAGAGGACTGGACTCACGAATCGACGAAGCTGACAGAGGTGGAGGCGAAGTATTGGTGAACGAAATCGAACGACCACAACGGAATGCAGCTGCGCACAGGAAGATGCGGGACGGGGAGGATTGGGGGGGCCGGGAAGAAGGAGGCTCAGGTGGAGAGATACGAGAATTTCCGAAGGTACCTGAAAATTGAGGCGATCTGAAGCAACTACTTCTAGAGATCGCGGTTGCTTTGAGTTCTTGTTTTGCGTGCGACGTCCCTGCGTGTATGTGCGACGACCATTATGCGAGGACGTCATTCCAGTTTGGTACCTTTCGGAGAGCAGCGCGAAGTGTTGGTTGTCGGGGTCCTGCAACGCCGCTGCCAGCAGCCGCCGTTCCGCGTCCACCATGCTTATTCCCCCCCATCGCACCTGACGGACGGTCAAAAAGGTGAGGCAAGGAAAACAAGAGAAAAAAGGCTACTCTGGTAGCGGAACTATGATGGGCCCGCAGTAACAGACCAGTTTCGTGAACATCACACACGACGCGTCCAGCAACATTCAATCACGGTGTTCTGGCAAGTTCTACGCATTTTTCTCCGTGCTCACCTCTCCCCCTGGAATGAGACTGTTTTTGAAAATGGCCGGCGAGTCAGCGGGGAAGGCGAAGGAGGTGTTGGATGCATGCACGTAGACGGAGTAATGGCCCTCATGCCCCGCGAAGAATTTCTCCCAGAGCGGGGCGAATGGGAGTGGCCCACGTGTCAAGAAGAGAAACGCTATCTTCCCATTTTGATGGTCTCGGCGATCATTGACGTCCATTTGCGACGAGGACGATTTTCTGTTCGCTAGGTAAAGATAGCTGCGCGAAGTTGTTGTGGAAGCAGATGTCGCTAAAACAGATGTAAATATGGAAAAATCGACCCAAAAGAGCGGAGATAATACGCCGAATATGACTATTACCGAAGCAAGCACTCGCAGGAACGTGTTCGCGGAAAGGGGTTTTACAGACGACTCATTGAGCGATCTGAAGGAAGAGGAGCGGCGTTGCAGCAATGGAGTCGTGTGATCTACATTTTGGTTAAATGCCCTATCGTGAGACAGCATCGTGTTCACCAGTGAAACGCGAACAGCCGTCAGTGTGGCTTATTAGGTGACGAAACTAGGGGGAATGACTCGGCGGAACTAGCCAAAAACGAATGCTGCGTTTAATTAGGAGCGTCGAGAGGAGATGCAAAGAGCAAGCAAGCAAAAGCGACAGATGGCAAACGGTATGGTTGGAGGAGGGCGAACAAGCTAGCAAGGCAGCTTGTTGTTGCTGGAGCTTTGTCTAGGTGTAGTGTAGAGTTGAACTCTCCAGACCATAGACCAACGGCAGGCTTGAAAATTGAATGACAATGGAGTGTTGGAGGGGGGCGACATATGAGCGTGTTGGAGTGTGTGTGGTGGATTTCGCCCAGGCCCGGCCCCAAACCGACAGCGTTTCGGCAACCCGACAGGTGAATTGACGACGGGTCACGAGACGGGACGGGACCAGGCTAGGGGGCCGAAATACACGATCAGGCCAAACAAGGCTGCGTCGTTTGGTAGCCCCAGACGTGGTTGGGGTTCCGGGACTAGCAGGGTTATTATTCGCAGGAAACTCGAGTGAACGGTGACAATTCGTGCGCTGCCACAGAAGCTTGGACGACGTGGGGGAAACGTGGCTCAGAACCGAAGGCGAAAAGGGTAACCGCATGTCAAATTTTAGGGACAGTGAAGGTGCGTGAGCCCGCAATTCCGCGCGTCGTCGGATGCATTCCCGCGGAGGTGATGCGACTGGACTGTGTTACTAGTCATGCCTGTCAGATTGAGGGAACACCAGCGCCGCCATTTACAAGGCGGTTCGCCTTGCTTGCGAGCCATCCAAATGTTTGGCATATGGTCTGCGCTTCGATACTGCTTTCTTCAGTAGCATATCTAGCAGGTGTTCACCTGCTGATATTTTTACAACTTCAAATGATTCAAAAGTTGAGCACCTTATGGTGCATGTTTATTTCTCTGCTTGCTTGACTTCAGCCTATAATGAAGCCTAGAAACACTAGGCATAATAGAGTACTCGTTAAAACCCAAGGACCTGCTGCGAGTTCTTCAGCAGGAACGGCAACGAGGACACGTGGAATTTCCTTGCAAACAGGAAGCAGTTCCGCACAGTGCCCTCCACGACACAGAATCCATTCTCAACCGTCTGCAGAGCAGGCCAAATCAGCGAGACACATGAGACGAAGACGGACGTAGCATGCGCACAGCCATGTGAGATGAGGGCAGGCAAGACAAAGCAAGTTGGTATTGAAGCAGGCAAAACACACACAATGACAAAACACACACAATGACAAAACACATGCAATGAAATTGCCAAGGCAGCAGTGACCATGAGCCAAACAGGGCACTCAGAGGATCGCACATTGTGCTCCAATAACTAAGCAAGACTAGAGGTTTGATATACAGACAGAAAAGTAAAGGAGTTTTTACATAGAACTTACTGGAGCAGGTTGGGGTTTCTTAGGGTTTTCAATCTGCCAGGAGCAAAGGGCATGGGCAGAAGAAACAGCCAGACAAGCATGGGCACATCAGAATATACATGTGAATATACATAAATACCAGGGTATTTAGTGGGATAAGAATGAACGGCCGCAACTTACATAAGTATATCTATTTCTGAACTTCTTCCAGTAGTAGCGGTACTGGATATAGTGCTTAGTGGACTGCTCAACAGGCAAACAAACATCAGCGACAGGGATGATATAGGGGGGGAAGAGGATGAAAGGTGGAAAAGGGAGGATCAAGGGGGGAAAACGAAGGGAACAAAAAGGGAAGGAAAGGAAGGAAGGTACAGTGGGAGGGGAGAAAGGGGGGGAATGACGGTAATGAAGGAGAAATGACTTGGATGGTGAGGGGAACAAAGGAGAGAAGAATTCGATGAGGGAACAAAGACATAGGAGTAACACACAGGGAGGGATGGTCCAAGGACAAGAGTAGGCATGACTGTCAAGCAGCCTAAGGCAGACCTGGATGGCCGGGAGCGAGCACGGACATTGAGACATGGAGGACCAGGAGACATCATGGTGAGAGGCACACGAAACCCAAATATTTTATCGAGGCACCTAGAAACACACCGCCCAGTGTAGAGAGTAAGAGAGTGTGCATGGCACCTTGATGGTTTTGAAGAGTTCGTTGGTCATGTTGTACGAGTAGTACGTCTCGGGGTGGAACCGCCACTGGCTCCAGTCCGCCAGGGTCACCGGGAAGCGCGAGATCCCTGCTGGGTCCTTCAGCTGCGCAGAGAGGCGATGAGAGGAGGGCAAGCCGAGAGGAGAGGAGGGGCGACTGAGCCACATGTGTTCCACGGTGAGAGGCTCAAAACTTGGATATGCGTGATTCAAGAGTGGAAGTTGATGGTGGAAACAGGAGGGACGAGCGGGTAAAGACACGAGGGCAAGGGTTGCACGAGGGGGAACGAGGGGCAGGGAGGGGGGAGGGAATAGGATACTCTATGGGTTGTGCCTGTGTGGAAAGCGGCAGGGCAGAGCGACATACAGCAAGGAGGATCTGAAGGTAGTGCTCGTCGGAGCAGCAGTACTTGGAGTGCTGCGCCCTCCACTGCCACGGGCGGAAGGCAAGTGGTGGGGATTATGGGGGATGGTGGAAGACACAGGTGAGGAGGTGACGCGAAGTTACAGCAGAACATAAAATGATTTCCTCGGACCTGACGTGTCTGTGCGTGTTCCCTGCCGTACCTGGCAGGACTTGGAGTGCACGAAGTAGTGCTCCGTGTCCTGCACCACCAGCTCCGCGTGGGAATGGTACACGGGGCTGCATTCTTCCTCCCTACCAACCGAACACCCACCCCACCCCTCCCCTTTCCACCCGCACCTGGCAGGACTTGGAGTGCACGAGGTAGTGCTCTGTGTCCTGCACCACCAGCTCCGCGTGGCGGCGCTGCAGCACGAACCACTGGCTGCCTTTGAGGAAGTCCTTTTGCCTGATGGCCGGCATGTGGATGTCCGGCAGGTACCGCCCGAACGCCTCGTCAAACGGGTCCCTGTGCCTGCACGGGGGCGGGGAAGGGTGGAATGGGGGTGGCGGGGGCGGGGGAGGGGAGTGGCAAGGAAGGAGGGTTGTTGAGCGGCATGCGGATGTTCGTCAGACAGATACGCCCAGACGCCTCGCCCGCGTGCCTGGAGAGGGACGGGGAGGAAGGGGGACGGGGAGGCGTGGCGGGGGAGGCGGGAGAGGACGCGGGTGAGGCATAGGTAAGCAGTCGTTTCGTTACGTTCATCAGGTGTGCCACCTTCTCACATCACACCTTTCCTTGAGTTGCTACTTTGGGCCGTGTTGCAACGAGAGGGTACGCAAAGAAGGAAGCGTGGGGCGGGGTGGGGGTCGGGAAGGTTGGGGGGAATGTGCGAGGGAAGCGGTGTGCTAGATGGGCGTTGGGAAGGAAATTCGAATACATAATGATATGATGCACTTACGCCTCGACGAAGCTGATGTGCGTGCTGGAGATGTAATCGTGGATGTAGTCGAACGACCACAGCGGAATGCACCTGTCACCGTCACGCAACACGCGCCAGACAGTGGACCGCGGGGTAGCCATGGCAAGGACGGGGGAAAGGAGATTGAGAGATGATAAGACGCGGCGAGCATAGGAAGACAAATGCCACATAGAGAATGAAAAGGCGAGAGTGCATTGGGAAAAAACAGGGAAAAATCGAAGCGAATTCAGTGGGTCACCACCCGTCGAAGGACTCACGATTCCGAGACGAGGACAAAGTACTCGTTTCGCTTGTCCGTGACAGCGTAGGCCAACAGGCGTCGCTCGGCAGCCACGACGGACATTCGACCCCACTCCACCTGCACCACACACGCCGATACGGATTCATCATGCGGAACTCGGAGAAGCGAATTCCACGACACTCATATATAGCAATCCTCACATAACCGGATACCAATTTTGCGAAATCTGGAGAAAGCTACCCGCACAACAGGAACAACGGAATTGACGCAAGAAAGCTACCCGCATGAGAGACAAAGCCAGCTAGAGGTGCGGCGCGCACCTTGCCGCCTGGTATTTGCCGGTCAACGAAGGCTGGCGAGAAGTTGGAGGGGAATGTGAAGTTGGGCTGCGAGGCGTGCACGTACACGGCGTAGCGACCCTCGTGACCCTTCAGGAAGAGAGAGTGAGCAAAAGAGGGGGACGAGAACAGCGAAGGACAGGGACGGACGGAATTCCGTTAGGGAGATGCTTGATGTTGGGGAGGATGTGCATAGGATAACATACGGTGAGCCCGAAACTCCAACCCTAGTAAAACCAGTTGCAGAATTCTGGATTTACAGCGGGGCCCGCGCAGACTCTTGGGCATGCGTACATAGAAAAACTTCTCCCACAGAGGAGCCAATGGCAGCGGTCCACGCGTCAGGAACATGAATGCAATTCTCCCTCCCGCATCGGCTGGCTCCGCGGGAGCGCCATAGCGAAGCAGGGATGTCAGTAGCGGGGATAGCGTCGCTGATAGGAGGAGGAAGAAGAGAGACGAGACGAGGAACGACAGCACGAAGACCAGTGCCAAGGAGCAAAGCACGCGGCATATCCTCTCCGGCAGATAACCTTTTAGAGGCTTCTTATCCACTAGCCTCCCACCCTCGGAGATCATGATTGTCTATTGAGCCTCTACTGGCTACTATAAACGAATCGCTCTAGGTGCTATTTGAAAGGCTCTACGAACGATCTGGACGAACATACAGGAACGGGGGTCCTCGCCGTCGTTCTCCTCCTGATCGAG